GTTTGAGTACTTTTCAATTTAGACCCAGTGCTGTGGAAGGGCGCGGACTTGTGCGGTGTTACCCCCTCGACGGGGGCTATCTCCCCTGGACTAGCCCAGGGAGGGAGAGGCGGAGGAGGGTAGTAGTCTCAGGAGGCTGTTTGGCGTCTTGTGGTGTGAGCTCTTTGCGCTCTTTTTTGCGTGAGGATTTTTGAGCTTGGTGACCTCCCCAGCCCGGGAAGACTCGTCGGGCTCCCGGTCGCCCAAGTCCTGGTAGCGAGCTCTCTGAGATGCTCGGTTCGTTCGGTCGGCAGGAAGAGCCCCCCAGTTGCGACTTCGTTTATGTTAGGAGACCAACGGGCATAGATCCCGTCTAGTTGGAGCGCCAAACAAGCGCTGTTGCGTGCCGGCCGTCGTTTCCCGTGCGGCCTGACCCGGGGGCGGAGTGCATGAGACTAACCAGCCGTATGCACCCGCCCCCCGCGCTGTGCTTCGGCCCTGGGCCCCCGGCTTTTCAGCCCACAGTGTAATCAACGTCATACATACATACATACATACATACATACATACATACATACATACATACATACATACATACATACATACATACATACATACATACATACATACATACATACATACATACATACATACATGGCACGCACGCAACCGTAGCTTCCCGTGTTTGCTTGTTTGCTTCAGACCTGCTAACTAATCTCCCCTCCTCCTTCCACTCAGCAGCCTTTTCCTTTCCTTTCCACTTATCCACTTCCCCAACCCTTTCCCCCGCCTCTCCCCCCCTCTTTTCCCCCTCATCCCCCCTCTCTCGCCCTCTCTCGCCCTCGAACAAACACACATACAACGTACCTTAACAATTTTGCAACCTCTCGGAAGCGCACCAGCACCACCAGCACCACCAGCACCACCAGCATCACCAGCACCTCCTCCTCCATCGCCAACACTCTCGCCCACGTCTGTCCCCGCCGCCATGCTGCTGCTGCTGTCGCTACTGCTGCTTCCAGCCTTGCGCGCCTCCCTGGCCGCCGCCGCCTTTGCCGCCGCTGCCGCCGCCACCGCCGCCTTACTCGCGAGTCCCGGGTGGTCGGGGAAGAGGAGCATCCTGATCTGCGACCCGCTGTGTGCATTCATGCACCTGAAATAGGGGCAGGAGGGGGGGATGTGGGCGAAAGACGAACCACGTGAACGAGTGAAGCTGATGACAAGGAGGATATGGACTGATATACACCGGAAGTGAAGTATGCAAGAAGTGACGAACCAGTCGTGACCAGCCGGGGTGGCAGGGGGGAAGGGAAGGGGGAGGACGGTGTTCGGCCCGACACCCCAACCCTAGGGTTTTCCCCCCTTTGACTCCAGGTACGGCACTATCTATTCCAGTATCTGAAGTATTTAAAACTAATTACTACGATAAAGCCACCGCACATACCCAACATACAACAAAGTCTTACTGCTACTACGACGCACACACACACACACCTCTTACACATACACACATACACACATACACACATACGCTCCCCCTCCCCCTCCCCCTCCCCCTCCCCCTCCCCCTCACTCTCCCCGCAAGGTCCCCCCGTCAGAAGAACCCCTCCTCTTAACACAGACAACCCCCCTCCTCGCTTTCTCCGCCCCGGGCAACCCCCCTTCCCCGTCCCGTACATTCATACGTATACATACACACATGCACACATACATACACACGTACACTTCCCCTCCCAATTCCCCGTCTCTTACCTCGCCCCCGGCACCTTGCTATCCGCCCACTCTAGGAACTCACGCATGGCCGCCTCCTTGTCCGCCTCCGCCTGCCGCTGGGCCTCCGCTAGGTGGGCCCTATTCACCATCATACCGCGGCGCTCCATCTCGGTCAGCAGCTCGCCTGGCGGGGGGGGGTGCGACGGAGGCGGGGGCGTGTGTGTGTATATGTGTGTGTATATGTGTGGAGGCGTGTGTGTGTATATGTGTGTGTATATGTGTGGAGGCGTGTGTGTGGAGGGTGGGTGGCCTATATGGCAGGTGTAGCCGGACAAGAAAGCAACTGGGGATGGGGCGGAGGCGAGGAGGCGGTGGGAGGGCGACAGAGAATGAGGAATGACGATAAAGTTACCGAGGGTTGTGTGTGGATGGAAGGGTGTGTGGGAAATGATGATGATGATGCGAGAAGCAAGGAGCAACGAATCCCAACGGCCTACGTCCCATGAGGAGGGTGAAGGAATGGGAGCTTGTGAAATGTACGAGGGCGGCTGGCCCTTAACCAATACACAGCTATACACACTCCCCTCCTTCCCCCCTTCTTCCACCCCCTTCCACCCTCTTATTTTAGTCTTGGCGGCTAGGTAGGTAGGTAGGTAGGTAGGTTTCCGCGGTCGTCATCATTACATCATCCCGAGGTCGCCTCCTTCAAAACCGCCGACTGGTCAGTAAGTCAGCCTTCTTGTACACTCTTTCCTTGGCAGCAGCTTCACTCGTTCACGTGGTTCGTCTTCCACCCAACCTTCTTTCCCCCCCCCTTTTTCTCCCCCCCCCCTTTTCTCCCCCCTCCCCCAAGCCCACCAAAGTCCAGCCAGTAGGAGCAGTAGAAGTGCCACAAGTGGAGGTAGCTAGGGACACGTGACGGGGTCCCGCCGCCACCGCCGCCGCCACTACTGCCAGATGTTGCTGCTACTGCTGCCGCCGCGGCGGGAGCAGCCGTGTTGCCGTACCCTAGCTGTCTGGCCAGGGCGGGCTCCATCTCCCACGCCTCCAGCCGCAACAGTCCCTCCAGCGCCTCCCGGAGCTGCCAAGTTGCCTGAGGGCGCGTGTCGTGTCGTCGAGTCGTCGAGTTGTCGTGTCATCGAGTCGGGGGGAAAAGACAAATTTGTCAATATACACAAATACACACACGCACGTGCCTAATCCGCATGAAACATGAATGCGCATCACTTTCCACCGGAGACGAACAGCAAACCCCAGGAGAAAGACCTAAAAAGGTGCCGTACCTAACGAGGTGCCGTACTTAAAGAGCTGCCGTACATTCCCCTCCTCCCTCCCCTGCGTGTTCTCTCCCCCCCCCTCCCCCTCCCCGTCTCGACCTCTCACCTTGGCGTCCAGCGCCGAGTAATCAATCCACGTGGGGCGGAACAGCTCCAGGGAGTGCAGCTGCTGCATGGCGGGGAGCTCCGGAACCTTACCCGGCACACCGCCACGCAGCTTGAGCAGCCCGAACCGGTCCTTCATGCTCATCTGCGTGGTTTAGGTCGGGGTGGGGTTTGAGTGGGGGTTTGAGTGGGGGGATGAGTGGGGGGATGAGTGGGGGGATGAGCGGGGGTTTTAAGTTTGGGAGGTGCATGGGAGGTGACTTTTCAAACTCTAGCATCCACAGCACTTGTGGATGTTTTATGGTTCATCACCCTTTCATCAGCAAGTTCTTCAGACTCCGCAGAGATTTGTGTCCTTAGATGTGTGCTTAACGACCTGAGGGAACAGGAAAGGTGGTACGAAAACAACTTTACCGAAGCGAACCAACGGCCCCCGGGTCGCCCGCCAACCTAGTTCCTCCATCGCCATTTCCATACGGCATACTGCTGCCGTACCTTGGCCCGTACAAGCTTAGCGACCTCCGCGGCCCGCTTGTCGCCAGGGCTGGTGCCCCCAGGTGCCGCCGCCTCCGCCGCCGCCGCCGCCGCAGCAGCAGCAGCGGCGGTATCGCCGCCGCCACTCATCCTCGCCGCCCGTCGTACACCGCCCGTCAGAACCCTCGGCGGCTTCTCCGCCCGATGGGGTACGAAATGCCGCATAATCTGTTGTACGGCATGTACATCAGGCATGAACGGCACGTTGATAAGATACGTTGGCTTTTGCTTGTTTGATGCAAATCCTGCAACTTCCCGCTATCACCCCCACTCTCACGTGCTAGCGCAACATGGGCTGCCGGCGTTTGCGTACTATCTAACCACTCCACTCCACTCCTACGTCCTGGCACAGAAGTGCTGCCAGCTACGGCCCGCAGGTCACTAGGCAACCGAACAACAAAATCCCCGCTACCCCCCCTATCATCTCCTCTCCCCCCCCCCCGCTACCCCCTCCACTCCCCCTCCCCCCGGGTCACTAACGTTATGGTCGGCCGTGAGGTTGTCCAGGCCGTACGTACGTCTGCCGGATCGGGAAGCGTCCGCAAGTCGGGCCATGTGCAAGGTGTCGCCTCCGAAACCGGCGCAACAGATACCCATGTTCTCTAAAACGTGGCGGTCGAAGCCATAGTTGTGCCAGACCTGGTTCGTGTTGGGCGGCAGATCGGGGGTTGGGGTGGGCGCGGGGGGAAAGACGAACCGCTAACGAGTGAGGCTGCTGCCAGGGCAAGAGGTGCGGGGGGCGGGGCGCGCGGGGGGGGGGGAGAAGAGTAGGACGAACCACAAACGAGTGAAGGTGATGTCGAGGAAAGACTGATAGGGAAGGTGCGGGGGGAAGGGTTAGGAGGAGGGAAAGGGGAAGGGAGCAAAGGTGNGGGGACAACAAATACTGAGCGCACAGCCGGAGGAGGGGGGAGGGGAAGGCGGGCGCGCGCGCATGTACACCCTTTCACACACGCGCAGCACGCATACGGCACAGGCATCAGGGCCAGGGCCAGGGCCGTGGCATCCCCGTTTGCCGTACGCCCCTGAATGGCCGTACCCTCCTCACCTTTTTGACTGATTCATCTTCGAAGAACCGCTTGAATTCATCCAGGATGGGGTGGTGCGGCTTCAGGCGAACCTGCAAGGTGGTCACGGTGTGTGTGTTTTTATGAGATGTTTTTTCGATGTATGTATGTATGTATGTATGTATGTATGTATGTATGTATGTATGTATGTATGTATGTATGTATGTATGTATGTATGTATGTATGTATGTATGTATGTATGTGTGCGTATGTACTCGGCAGCATACTCACATATCTGCCATCCATGATGGGTCTTCCCTCCTCGTCCAGCTCCACCTCGCTCCAAATGTCAACCCAGATGCGGTCCTTGCGAACAGGGCCACCGGCGGCCGAGCCGGCGTCGCCGCTGCCGAGTGCAGCCATCGACCCGTGGGTCGTCGCACCGAAGCTAGCTGACCCGAGGGTCGTTATGGAGGTAGCGGCTGTGGTGGCGGCGACAGCGGTGACACCGCGCTCGCATTCGGAAAAGTCCAGATCGTCACCGCCGTAAATGCTGAAGCACAGTACGGCACCGTGTCCGATTGGGGTTTCGGAGGATACGTCGATGAAGGCGACCTACAGCCCGGGGCGGTGGGGAGGGCGGGGGGTGAAGCGCGGGAGATGGTAAGATTCACGAGGACTCTGAATCCAGAATTCAAAATCCAGCATCTAGAATCCAGGATCTAGAAAATACTCAAGTAGTTATCTTGAAAAAGCGAAATGCACGGGAAGGCAATTGGCAGGACAACGGCCGAAGGAGGAAAAAACTCTCGTGGCGGCAATTTCTATTCGCATGTGTATGTATGTATGTATGTATGTATGTAAATGTGTGTATATGTGCGTGTGTTAACTGTGGGGGACCCCTCCTTCCCCTCCCTAACCCGCACTCCCTCTAACTGCCAGCCCCAACCTTATGTTCACCCTTTCCCCACCCGCCTCCCTCTCCTTCCCCCCACCTCCCTCTCCTTCCCCCCACCCGCCTCCCCCTCCCCCACCCACCTCCCCCTCCCCACCCACATCCACCCACCCACACGCCTCCCCCTCCCCCACCCCCCTTCCCCCACCTCCGTATCGCATCCGAAGTAGCGGCAGGGCACCGGCGGATAGGTGCGGTTGTTGGGATACGGGCTGCCTGCCACCGCCATCAGCTTGGCAACCACGGCACGAGCCACCTCAGCTGAAGGGGGGGAGAAGGGGGGAGACCAACCACAGGCGAGTGAGGGGGTGGGGGGTGGGGGGAAAGACGAACCACACACGCTTGAAGCTGCTGCCAGGGCAAGAGAGTAACAAACGTAGAACTGACCGAAAGGCGTCCGTGGCGACCGTGACCTCGAGATGACGAGGGGGGTGGGGGGTGGGGGAGATGAGGGAAAACAGCCCAAGCGACATGGTGCGTGGGGGCGGTGCGTGGTGTGACATCGATAGCCATCACATACAAGGTCATACATACATACATACATACATACATACATACATACATACATACATACATACATACATACATACATACATACATACATACACTAGGGTTTACATAGGTTTACCACAGTGTAATCTAAGTCATACATACATACATACATACATACATACTAGGGTTTACATAGGGTTTACATAGGTTTACCACAGTGTAATCTAAGTCATACATACATACATACATACATACATACATACACTTACGTGTGTTCACGATGAGCACGTCCGCCGGCTCGTCGCGCATCAGAGGTTGCTTCGTACAATATCCCTCGCAAGCCTCAAAGTAACCGTCGTACCCGGGCACGGGCACTGGCGGCCACAGCGCCTGGAGGCCCTTTTGAAGGTACGGCTTCAACTCTTCCTCCGTCGGCGGTGGCGGCAGCGGCGGCGGCGGCAGCGGCGACTTCTTCTGTACGGCAGTTGTCAGGGTGGCCGTACTAGTTTCGGCAACTCCCGCGGCTGGCTTCTTGCGCCGCGTTCGTTTAGCGGTGGTGGCGGCGGCGCTGTCGCCGGCGTCCGTTTCGGCGATAACTGCCGTCGCCGCCGGGCCCCCCGCCACCGCCGTCTCAGCGGTCTGTTCTGTAGTGCGAAGCTTTTTCACTCGCTTCTTCTTAGTCTTCGGCGGCGATTCAGATAGCTGCTGCTGCTGCTGCTCCAGCTGCAGCCCTTCCTGTTCACCTGCCAGCACAAGTCCGTTGCCAAGATGTTGCTGTTGTTGTTGGAGCTGTTGGAGCTGTTGGAGCTGTTGGAGCTGTAGCAGCTGTAGCAGCTGATGCTGCTGCTGTGGAGATGTAATTAGATCCGCCAATGGTGCGTCTCCGCCGACCTCGCCCTCGCCCACGCCAGCGACACCGCCGCCAGCAGCCGTTCCCCCTAACACGCTGGGCGCGCTACCGCCGCTGACCTTGTCGTACACGCCCTTTGGTATCATCGCCGCTGCCGCGGCGGCGCCCACCGCCTCGCCGTTCCTTCCCCGCGATGACGCCGGCGGCGGTTCATACTTCCGGCGAGCTACTGCCACCGCATCCACAACGGTGCCGGCTCTATGGCGGCGGCTGCCTAGCAATCCGCGTACGGCAGCGGCGGCGGCGGCGGCGCCGCCTCCGGTTCCCCCGCCTGACGTGGACACCTCCGACCAGGAGGTCTGCTCGGGAGTGCGCACGTGTCCATCCCACAACACGGACGACAGAACCTCAGACAGCTCTTCCGCCTCCACTTGCTGCTGTTGCTGCTGTAGCTGCTGTAGCTGCTGTTGCTGCAACTCGTCAAGGTGTTGCACGTGATGGTTGTCTTCCAGAGCCTGCTGGCGAGTAAGGGCGAGAGAGTGGTGCGGCTGCTGTTGTCCCCCCTCTTCAAAGCCATGCTGCACAGGCTGCTGGTAGGTGCTGATAGCGTTATTGGATACCTCCACGTCTTTGGTGACACCGTCCCACAACCCGGCGAGGGTTGTCAGCTGCCGGCTACTGCTACTGCTACTGCTGCCGGTTTGCGGAGGCTGTAGCAGCTGCTGCTGCTGCTGCTGCTGGTTCACCTGGCTAAAGATTGCCGCAGGCGAGCTCGCGTTCGATATTTGCTGCTGCTGAGGATGGTAGTGGATGGGTTGTTGCTGCTCGTGCACCGGGTACGGCTGTCGGTACGGCTGCAGGAGCCGTTGTCCCAGCATGCAACCTTGCACGCCACCAGCTCCCGCAGCTTGCGATCCCGCTGCTGCTGCTGCTGTTGCTGCTCCTTGATCCGGTCCTGGCAAACCTAGCAAAGGGGACGCGGGCCCCGGCAGCATCACCGGGCCGGAGGCTGCGGCCCCGGCAGCCCAGGCGGCCGGTCTCCCACTTCCCCCACCTTCCCCGTCCCGGGGTGGTGGCAGCTGGCCCAGTGCCGCCTGTCGGGCTCGGTGGAGCTGCGCTGAGGTGATGGACCCGTAGCTCCTGCGGAGGGGGAGGAAGGGAGGGAGGGAGGGAGAAAGGAAGGAGGAGAGGGAGGGGGAGGTAGGTAGGTAGGTAGGAAGGTAGGTAGGTAGGTAGGTAGGGAGAGAAGCAGCCCCAATCAACACGTACAGCGCTTCATACAGCGGGCAGTCGCAGGACGAGGATACCAAATCCCATCCCATGTGTGCCAGGTCCAGTATAACATCCCGACACAACCGACCAGAACGACCCACGGGTCTGTTCCCCAGACAGACGGCAAGCGACTCTTACTGCTTACTTTCTCAGCCGCTTTGCCTCCTCCTGAGGATGTGCCGCATTTACGTTTTCGGAGACGAGAAAAGGGGGGGAGGGAGAAGATGGAACAGCAGCGATGTAATGTCCGGTTGGGATTGGTGGCAAGGGGGTATGAGTGAAAAGGTGGAAGAACGGAAACCTAGGGCGGGCGGGACCCCCCCCGCGCCGCGGGAATATAAAATACCCCGCAACTTCTTACAGGTAACGGAATCTCAAAACACAAACATGCCACAGATACAGATACAGATACAGATACAGATACCGAACCTAAACGCGATCGGCCCAGATCACGTGCTCCAGGGGGGAGGCTGTTGTTGCTGCTACTGCTGCTGCTACTGCTACTATTGATGCTATACTGAAGCTACTGCTACTACTACTACTGCTATACTGCTGCTAGGCGGTGGGGAACCCCGCCAGCCACCACCAAGCAAGGTAAGTCTCAACGGGACGAAATATATACATATACATATACATACAGCATGCGAGTGCTGCATCAGATTTCCTTCCGTACCGAACAACCAACCAACCAACCAACAAGCTAAAAACCCAGCTCTTTGAAACGAGCGCGGAACAGCCAGCAGTTCAAGAGCAGTTCAGATCCCCTTCACTGCGCCACTACCCCCGGGGGGGGGACTTACCGCATTGCGTATGTTGTTCACCAGAGCCCTGTCGATGGGCTCGGGCGGCAGCTGCAACGGGGGGGTGATCTGCGGGCGGGGGGGAGTCAGCGGCGCCACTACCCTTAAAACCGTACGGCGTAGTGGGCGATATGTATACATATGCGTATACATACATACACATACTACATACATACATATATATCATACACGACGACGTGACGATAATTTCTGTATGTATGTACATGCATACAAAATATACCGTCACGTCGTCGCCTCGTTGTTAGCTGCTGTTTTGGCTCGTTGCAGCAGTACTAACGGCGGGTCGACTGTCTCTATCTTTGAGTATTATGGAACCAAACCAGGCGAGCCTAGTCGACAAGAGAGAGAGAGAGAGAGAGAGAGAGAGAGAGAGAGAGAGAGGGAGGGAGGGAGGGAGGGGGGAGGGAGGGAGGGGGGAGGGAGGGAGGGGGGAGGGAGGGAGGGAGAGACAGATGGGGGGAGAAAGACGAACCACGAAGAGTAAAGCTGCGAGGGGGGAAAAGAGGGCGGGGGAGCAAATCCATCCAAGTTATAAAACCCAGCACGCGGGCAGAGCAACCGAGAACAACAGGACCCCTAACCCAGCAGGTCCGCATCCTCCTCCAGTTACACAATGACACTCAACGACAGTAATGAGCTTACGTTGACGGCAATAACAGCACGATACACGTTTTGGCAAGGAAAGTGATGAGTGAGCGACGACGCCAGTGAGTGCAGCGCGTGGCGGCGAAGCAACATGACGCCGCGTCATGGACCCCCCACCCCGACAGAGATAAAAAAAGGTGTGGTGACAACGACCGCGTGAGAAATGGGAGGAGATTATACATAAGAGCTAGACACACGCACCTGCGATCTGGGCCTTGCGCTGCCGTACGCTTGAGTCAGGGAACCGGCGGAGGACCTGCTAGGCCTGAGGGAGCGGGGTAATGGGGTTTCGCTGTGTTGTGTGTGTGGGAGGCCGGGGGGGGGGAAGGGGGGAGGGAAGAGAGTGTGTGTGTGTGTGTGTGTGTGTGTGTGGAGAGCGGGCGGTGGTGGTTAGCAGCGGGCATGTACGGCGGTGGAGAGTGCAGGCAGCAGGTAGCAACGGAGGCAGGGCGGGGGCTCGGGGGGTAAAGGACACAGGATGTGGGTTGGCTCCTCCAGGGTGCGGACACAAGATGACGTATAAATTGCCGTACAACTCCCTGCCCCTGTGCCGGTTGTTGGCAACAAGTTTTGGTGTTGGGCAAAGACGTGGGACTTGGAAACGTTGGGTCCTCCTCCCCCTCCAGGCCGTCCACCTCCCTCCCCCCCCATTTGACTCCTTGGCTCTACTGCTCTTTTTCCGCGCTTATTTTAGTCTTGGCGGCTAGGTAGGTAGGTAGTTTTCCGCTGTCGATCATCATCACTACAGCATCCCGAGGACGGCTTCTTCACAACCACTGACTGGTCAGTTGTCCACTTCCTGCACATCTGCCGCAGCACTGGCAGCAGTTCGTCTTTTCCCCCTTGCCTCCCTCCATCTCTTCGCCGCACACGCCGCACCCTCCATTTCCTCTTTACCCTTTACAAAAAAAACAACCGTTCGCGAACCAAGCCAGGTATCCTTGTCCTTCGCTTCGCCCACCTCCCCCCTTTTCCGGGCCCTCCTGCACCCCACCCCAGTATCTGCATAGCCCTAGGGGGAATCTGTCTAGGCCTTGTATCTCAGCTTGCAAACAGCCAAAACTGTGCGTTGACCGGCCGTATCCCATAGCGTTGACCTCCTCAGTTCCCTTCTTTTCTCTCCCGCCCTTTCCCGCGCGCAGACATTCACCTGTAGGAGACGACAAGAGGAGTTGTCCACATCCCAGGAAATGATTTGCGGTAGGGACTGGCCAGTCGCTGCAGCAGGGAGAGTTGCGGGGTGCTGTCTGTGAGGGCTGCACCCAGATGGGCAAGCCCGCGCCGGAGCATCCGGGGGGGCCCTGAGTCCGTGGGCGTCGGCGACGTGCTGGCGAGTTGAGCAGCGCTGCGGAGACTATTGGGCTGGAGTGTGGAGCCCGCAAAGCTCATGCTGGGCGACGGAGCCCGGTCGTGCCGGAGCTCACGAAGCCGGCCCCAGCCGCCCGAGCGAAGTTGTTAATCAAGTTGGCAGAGAGCAAAATGGTGCTAAAGATTGAAAGAGCATATTAAAACAGCCCGTTTCCGTATCCGTTGGTAGGCGCTCGTGTTACGATGACTCGCGCGATGTTAAGCTAGAAAAGCAAAAGCAATTCCGGCTCAGCAGCAACCTGTATCCAATAAACACTGATGGAATTTTTACCATCATGTACAGAATTCAAACTGTCCACTGGCGTGAGCTTTGGTTCCGCGTGAGTTAGTTAGTTTTCGGCGCAAACCGCAGGCTTAACTTGCGGGTATCCCGAAGCAGAACACGATTCTGGGTAATACCAAGGCATATCTCTAGTCACTTTGAGAAATCGAAAGTGGAAAAATGTCTGCATCTGATGTGCTCGACTCGGACATCCGAACGATCGACCTGGAATGCGCGGAGCGCGAGTTCGTGGCGGCCATGGACTCCATACAGGTGCCCGCACCCTTCCTATGAAAGAGCTTGAATCCGTAGCCGGGGTTGCAACCAAAGCTGATTGTGCGTTCAACCCGCTCGTCCCACCGGCGCACTCGCAGGAGTACATGCAGCTCCAAGCCAAATTACAAGGTCAGCTAAAGCAGGTAATAAATAATGATGTTGCCCAGGCAACGACCTAGGTGGGTGAGTACCTTCGGCAGGACTGTCACGTCCATCCCTCCTACCTCCACAGTGACCCTCCCCACTCCGGTCCGTTTCCAACTGCAGGGGCTCTTGAGCCTTGCCCGGGCAAAGTACTCCATGGGCCCTATCGGACAGGCACAGTACGACATGGACATGAAGGCCTCCGTACGGGTGGGCGTTTTTCCCGGCGCTGTGGGTAAGCCACAGTTTTGCAGCTTCTACGAGGCGAGCACGTGGGTCGCGGATAGAATGGACCTCTTAGCTATTGATTTCTTCTAGCCTTCCGATTATAATTGAACACCACACATGTAACGCCAAACGCAGGACATAGATCTTGCTGCTGCATGATGCTCGGTACTCTTCCTCCCATATTTCTCTTCTTCCACTTTTCTCAATTACAGATTCACCACATATACAGTTTGGCGGGTTGGTTCTTTCCTGACTCGATCCAAAAACTTCTCTGATTTCTGCATCCGCGTCCTTGACCCCGCGTGTCTAAATCGGCGGTTGTTTTCAACTTCCAATAACCCCCAACTCCCAACCGCCACCTTCCCACTCCCAACCACAACTTCCACGGCTGGAAACTGGGGAGCAGCACCTAATGCATCTAATGCCGCTAACGACGGCGACAGCAGCACCGCAGACACGCCCTCCTGCAGCCGCTACTGCCGCTTCAGCTTCCTGCTACAGCGGGGACCTGCTACGGCTGGGCGGGGGGCAGGTAGCGCTACATCCGCCCCGGGGGGCTCCGTCGCCGGGAACCTGACGGAGTCGTCCAACGGCGGTGCTGCGGCGGCGGCGGCGGCGGCGGCTGAGACCTCCAGGGGCGGTAGGGAGGGGACTGTGTTGCAGGGGGGGAGTTCCGGAGTCTCAACAGCGGCTGCGGTGGCACCACCACCCCCAGCACCCCCCCCAGCTGGCGATTTCAATGCAGCCGTGGTGGACGAGCTTAGCGACTTTAGTGATGACGACGAGGAGGAGGAGGGGGAGGAGGAGGGGGGGCTAAGAGAAGCGATTGAGTTCCTACGCGGCATGAGGATGCAAGCGGTGGAAGCCAGCGGTGATGGCGGCTGCGGCGACGGCGACGTGGGGTTTAGCGGCTGCGGCGGAGGAGGAGGTGGAGGCGCGGCGGGGCAGCAACGGCCGCTGGGGAGGCGGCGACGCGGCGGACGTCGTGGCGGCGGCGGCGGCGGCGGCGGGGCTCGTGATCCGCTACACTGGTTTGGGGTGTTAGTGCCGCCGGCGATGAAGGAGGCCCAGGCGCAGTTCTCAGAAGGTACGGCAATCCGCTTAAATGTACGACACAACTAACAACGGAATAAAAAACGACTTACTACGTTAGATTGCACCTTAGCGCGGCTAGGCATGGTCCCGTGGTTAAAGATGTACGGGTGGGCCCAACAGGTGGGTCTCCACTCATGGATCTTCGTCAGGCCCTCTATCCTAGGGAGGGAAAGATCGTTGCTTTCGTACAGCTGTCGTACAAATAACCGCTGCCCCAAACTCACCATCCATCCTCCTACCCCTGGCCCGCCATGCTGGCAGACCCCCTTTCCCGCTCCCCCCTCCCGAGTTCCCCAGTCAGCCAGCTTAGTATTCCCTTTCAGCGGCACTTGCATGCGTTCGCTCTTTCATCGCTCGCTGCTCACAAACCCCTTGCCACCTCTCTGCCTCCTCGCATGTGCCCTCCCTGCCCGCCGCTCCTGCCGCCTGGCCAGGTGAGTCTGAGGAGGTTCGAGTGCTTTGTCGGTGAATCGCGTTGCATCGGTCGGCTGGCCGGACTAGGATAGTTGGGTCGGTCGGGTGGGGCGCGCGTTTTTTTTGGGGGGGGGTGGGAGGAGCACTTGGATATCACCAGCTTTTTATTACCAGCTAATCAGCCAGTATTGGTCCAACCCCTCCAGTGCCGCCGCCAGGCCGGCGGCAAACTTAATTCCAGCGCACGTCATCAGTTCTTTACTACTTTTTCGCCGCCTCTACACCTACCTCTACTTATTTACGGCTTCGTTCTACTGCTTTTCTTCCGGTCGTTTTTTAGTCTTGGCGGCTAGGTAGGTAGGTAGGTTTCCGCGGTCGTAATCATTACATCATCCCGAGGTCGGCTCCTCTACTCTTTCCTTCGCAGCAGCTTCACTCGTTCGTGGTTCGTCTTTCCCGATTTCCCCCTTCACCTCCTCCCGCCGGATTCCGGAATGATCTAAAACCCCGGATGGGTCGCAGTTTTGGAGACGTGCCTTCTGCTAACGAATACGGCACAGCGGTTGGCGCCCCAACGACCAACGCAACCACCAACCGCCGCCTTGCACGGGGGCGATGCCAGCGGCGGCGATGGAGGCGACGGTGTTATTAGTGGCCCGGCCTGAACCGGGTCGGCGCCTTCTACTACGGGCCGCGCTTGATGATGGGTGCGAGGGGGCTCTCATGACAGCTGCAGCGCGGCGGAAAGTAACCCTCCGTCGCCCTTGGTCCTTTGGTCATGTCGTTGCTCATACGGCGGTGCCGCCGGCGACAGTGAACACCCAAAACCGACGAACGTGACGCGCGTAATGCATTTTCATGTAACGATGTAACGACGCCACAGTGGCGTCGTTGAAAACCAACGAACTATACCGTTGGCGGTTCAAAGCCCTCCCGGTAGTTGGCGATGGCGTGATATGACTGATAGGTAGCGGCCCCAGAGGAAAAGGATTGGGATGTACGGGGTACGGGATACGGGGTGCGGAAAACGAAACCGCCAAGTTTATCTAAGGGGAGGGCGGGGGCTCCAACTGCGTGTGTGTGTGTTTTCCCTTCCGTTGCTGTCCATGTTGGGGAAGGATCAGGGAAACCGTGGGAGCGGGAGATTACCTGTACGGCAGGGAGGGAGGCGCGGGAGGCGCCGTATCTGCTGCGGGCTGCTCAGGTTGAGTCCGGGGCAAAGCAGCTAGCGGCCAAACACACGAAAGGGGCGCCCCACTAAAAAGGCTCTCCTGCAGGCCGCCCCTAAGTCCGTGTCGTGTCCTGGTACCCGTGTGTGCTTCCCTGTGCTCAATATGGGATGGCAGGGGCAGTGCTGCTTGGGGTTTTTTATGTACGAAACGCTGTGGACGTCTTGCTTTGTTAAGTATCGCCCGCGACTGCAGAGTTGGGGGTTTTCCTTTTGTTTCATTGGATTTCAGGAGAAGGGGGGGGGTTAGGTTCCCCTTGCAAGGAGATAAAGCCCTCCCCTCCCTTCCCATCCCCTCGCCTTCCCATCCCCCGAATAGGGGATTACACCCTCCCCAAACACCCACCCCGAGTAGCAGCCCGGTGGGGAATTGCAATTTATGAATATCTTGACACCTCATTTCCATCAGCCAGCCATCACCCGCACTTCCTTGGAAAGGCGACGCCAACGGCTGGGGGGTTTAGGCCCCGGGGCGTTTGGGTAAATCGTCATCGAAAACACAAAAGGCAGCACAACTAGCTAGCACGGCTGGGCGGCCTTATGGTCTTGGGGTTTTTTTAGTACCACCCTGCCGATAATAAACATCGCAAGTAGCTGCCAAAGGGGGGTTGGGGCCATCCGGAGTGCCATCAGGCTCAGTTGGGTGCGCGAGGCAAGGGCGAAGGGGGCTCCAGGGAAGGTCTAATGACCTCTAGAGGGCAGATGGTTAATGGTGTGCATGGGTCCTAAAGGAGATGCGTGGTGGTGTCAAATGCAGCGATGGGGTGTGAGTTAGAACCATCAGCGGTGGTGCTGTTTGGCACTGTGACAGTTCAGGCTTGCTCGAGGCCGCGGGCAACGTACAGGCGTTCGGCTGGAAAAAGATGCAGGGCTGGCGAAGCGATTCGGCTTACGAATGAGGAAAACTGTCGGAGAGCTGGACAGAAGGTTTGGCGTTGATAGGAGTTGGTGGTTGCTCCGGAAGCAGGCAGCCATCTTTCTGGATTTACGGCAAAGGCGGTCATGTTGGATAGCACCGAAATAGCAGGGCTCCTTAAAAAATTAGGCCCCTGTAAAATCACCCACTTGCGTGCATATCTGTCCCAACAGAACTCCTCGCTGAATGCGCACTGCCGTTGTTTAATTATTGTTTTTTGAAACCCTAGTTCATGGCTTAACAAGTCCTTATCAAAATGGGAAACCAACCAGGCAAAAGCTTGGGCGGGCGACTCACCAAGAAGGACATAGAGCGCCTTCAGCGCCGTTTCAATCGACTTGCAAATAGCTCGGGAAAAGTAAACATAGCTGCCTTTGAATCCATGGTTGAGCTGGGGGGCAACCCATTCATCCCGCGGATTTTCAAGCTTTTCGACGAGTCTGGAGATGGCACGCTCAGCCTTGAAGAGTTTACACGGGTAGGTTTGGAAAAGTATTTACACTGGGAGCGTGGGGTTTAGACTTTTCGTGGTTCGACAAGCAAGTTGTAATGAAACACACGATACTTCTCGTCTCTCCTCACACGGTCGGATGCGCAATCCCATAACCTGTTTTGGGGTTTCAGGTAAGCGCTGGAAGGCTAGGGGTTCGGCCTTGCATGGACCAATGTCCCAAGGGTCTTATGCGGGACGGCAACCCACGCGAGGGCTGAACCCAAGCCGCAAGGAACTTTTGTATTCAGCAACCGCATGTTGGCATCGCAATGGCTTAAAGGGGCCTCAAACAGGCGGAAACTCGTTGTAACCTGGGCACATGCCAGATGCAACCTTCGGATGGCCGTGTATGAACATGTCGGTATCAGATCTGAAACTGTTTCATTCTACCTCCTACAAGGCGCTGGAATACTTCGGGCAACTGGACGTTGAGGAGGAGCAATACAAATGTAAGCTGGCACACCTGGTCAGTTTGGGTTGGATTTTACTGGGCCACTCAGAGATTGAGTCGAAGTGTTGGGCAACGTATCGTACGGCACCATAAACCAAGCAGGGATGTGCGGGCCATGGAGATCACAATTGAGTGCATGTAGTTGTGCTTGTCGGACAGGACCTCTTAAGCGCTGAGTGTGGTCATGGCGCTAAACTGTACATGCCATTGTACACAATGTTTCGCAATGCAAGTTGCGCAGTACGGTACGCTGTCATAACGCTTTGCTTACGTGGTGCCGTAACGTTTCGCTGCGCACGCACATTTCATGTCCGGCAGTCGCCTTTCGGATCTACGATGAGGACAAGGACGGGCTTATTTCCAGCGAGGAGCTCTTCAACGTGCTCCAAACGCTGCTGGGTAACGCCTACCCGGATGCGCAGCTCGAGCAGGTGCGGCCACGGCAACACGATTCGGCATAAAAGGGAAGGTTGGGTGGTGATCGGTTTGGTGCTGGGTCCTTCTATTTAAAGTATTAGTCTATGGCTGTATAACCTGCCTGTCTGCTCGCTACGCACAATGCCTTGTGCCGGCAAACCCCTTTTTTTATCTTCGCTGTGCCATGCCTTTATCTTTGCCATGCTACGCGTTACTTGTGCCGCGCAGGTTGTGCACAACACAATGAGGTACGTGAAGGGACAGGGTGTTAAGGCATTGTGGCGCGTGCATTGTGCAAGGAGACGTGTAGCTGTGCAAGGGGACGTGTAGCGGCTGTGCTGACGATTTTCGTAAGGAGCAGGCTGGCATGCGCGTAGTTCGAGCAAAACCTTGACGGATTCTGCGTGTACATGCTTGCAGTGAATTCGATCGGGACGGCGATAACAAGCTGGATCTGGACGAGTTCAAAACACTGCTTTCACGACAGGACCTGTCAAACAAGTTTTCCATGTCTATGTAGATTCGCGGGATGTTCGGAGGATATTTCGCGCTCGTTTAACTGTTGTGGAGAGAGGTTAGTCAGTTACAGTAAAGTTATAAACTACTTGACCTTGGCAGATGGCGCAGCGGGTTTTTGGAACTGTCTCTCGTGTCATGCGCTGCAGAGAAAATTTTGCGTTGGGGAGGTGAGCAGACTGATCGTTACAAATGTTTCCCGCAGACAATCCAAAATTGTCGAGCGACAACGACATGTCACTCACGTGACGAGACGTGGAAGTTATCCATGCATGTAAAAACAAGGTTATTTCAAAAGGAAAGTTATTTCAGATGTCGGTCCGAACAGAAACAGGTCGGTCCGTAACGCGCATGCGGTAACATGACACATATGGCAAGAGGGCACGGTATACCACGAGTAAAGATCATGCAACAGTCGCAACGTATGAAAGCAATTTACAACTAGACAAACTTGTTGGAGTATGGCGTGAAATCCCGTCCATTCCGAAGGCACACACGCAGAAGAGGATGTTGGCAACGGTTCACTTCGATGACGATTCTCCGTATGACACTTTTCCGCGCACAGCCCCCGCCCAGCAAAAGTAGTACATAGTCGCAACACACTTAAAACAGGTCTTCGGTTTACTCTTCGTCCTCCTCCTCGCCCTCCTCCTCCTCGCGCTTCCGCTTTGTGCCACCTGCGCATGTTCGCCGTCGACAACGTATCAGTCAGTAATCACTGGTCGCAGGAAAGCGTATGTTCCATCGCCATCGCTGATGCAATTTGCTCAAGTCACAATAAAATTTGCTGAATTACCCACCCGAGGGCGGGGCCTCCGCCGCCCCTTCGTCCTCCTCCTCGCCCTCCTCGTCGTCACCCTCACCCTCCTCCTGGTAATCGCCCTCCTCGTCCTCCCCAACGGCATCAGGGCCCTGCATATCACCACAGAAAGTGAATCCACCTCGCCATGTCCGAAATCACATTGGCCACAAGCACCCGAACTATTGAAACGAGCATGCAAGGCAGTGACAGAACATGTAGGGCAGTGGACTGTGTCTACATTCGCAACCCCAAGGACCCTACGTAAGCATCCTAACCCGGAAACAAAATCCGTATCTGTAAGGCGTCACGCCGCGACATACCACTAGGACCGCATACTCCTTCTCTCCCTGGAAGGATATACAGGGCACGGCAACGAGGAAGCAAGGAGCTCCTTTTGAGTGCTGATGCGTTCATTCAGGAATGCTGGTAATTGCCATTGCTCCCAACCAAAATGGAATCATGCAGAGCATAGAATTGCCTACCTCCTCGAACTCGCCGCCCTCCTCGTCCTCGAACTCCTCCTGCACGTGTCAATCGACATAGCTGTAATGGTAGTTCAGCAGATGCGCTAACCCGCTGAAACGGGCAGGCAAGCGTACCTCGCCACCGCCATCATCGTACTCCTCTTCGCCGGCGTCCTCCTCCTCGAAGTCCTCCTCTTCATCCTCGCCGTCGCGCTCTGCATTCGCAACGCATCAAATACAGTTCAGCGCTTTCAAGCAACTCGAAGCCGCGTCCCCAATAGCCTGACTCCATACGCACATGGCAGGACTTTATTCCTGGCCTACTTCCTTCCGTGAAGCAGCCAGTGTGATTCCTCGCACTTCATTCTCGCTAGTCAGTTTTTTTAAACACGTTGCAGGGGGCAGGAAGCAAGCCGGCCATAAGCTGCATTCCAGGCCCTGCACCCAAAAACTCACCACGGCCTTCCTTGTCGACCGAGTCCAGGTACTTTAGCTCGTCAAGCATGGCGAAGACCTTGCTAGAGTAGTCCTGTTTCTTGGAAAGGGGGCACTGATCCACGTCAAGGCACTGCAACGCCTTGAGCTCCTTTAGTGGAGCAAGTTCTTCAACGGTCGCAATGCGGTTGTTAGCAAGCTCGAGCGTACGGAGGTTTGTGAGACCAGCGCCTACGAGATGTTGGAGACCACCTGCGGTGCAAAAGCACAATGGCATGCCCTTCTTCAATTTGTCCTTCCAGTAGAGTACCACAGGGGGTACACATGTGAATTAAGGCGGAAGGCAAAGGAAAGATATAGGCCTTGAATGCCCCCTGTTTGGTGTTTGCAACAAGAGCCACGTCTGATACCCTTCGTATCGCGTGGTGACAACCGACCTGTGATGCGGTTGTCAGAGAGATTCAGGCGGACTAGCTTGGAAAGCCTTGGAAACCCCTCAAGAGTCGTAAGCCCGAGACCGCAAAGTGATAGGGACTTGAGGTTTACAAATGCGTCGAGGCCCTGCAGTGTTTCCGGAGCCGAGGGGTGGACAGACGGGGAGCTGAGACTTCCTAGCCTATGGAGCTGGCGACACTTCCCCCGTAGGGTGCTGTTGGCCATGTCGCCGGCCTGGCTATATCCATTGCTAAGATAACGTGCACGTCCCGCCGAGGCACGCAGGAGATAACCCCATACGCTGCGTATACCTGTCACACGCACTTCTGTATGAGACCTAACTTGCAACGCTTATCGTACATCCCCTCAAACGAACAAGACGACATACCGTTATATGCGTCGACTTGCAGACGCTGTCGAGGGTCAAGTTGAGAACCTGTTCAGGTTGTTTGCTTTCCTTTTTCAATATGTCGTTGATCGCTTGTTGGATGTCCTTCATAAATGTAGGTCAGAAGATAAAAATTTACGCTGCCCCGCCTGCGGCGTTATTGGGGACCAAGGGCTTCGTCAAGGCGGGCGCCATCCCATGACTTGGCGCCAAGGTATTCAGGCATACAGATGCAAACCGGTCATCTTTCCATGCGGCATGAGCAGGAAAGCCATTGACATGTGCTATGGAAGATAGCAGCGCATGTTTAAGGTGTTGAGACTACCGCCGGCCAACCCGGTCCACCATGTGCCGGCTTTCGCCGTCTCCAAGCCAACTTGAGTATTTATGAAGCGGCTTAAAAACCATGGAAGCATAGTGCGAAGATAACATAAAAGCGCAGCAACATCATGGCGTAAAGGCGCACAGTTCAGTCAGCAGGCCCCTACTTACTTCCGAGAACGGTCAACGAGGGCACAAGCGAACAGAACAACGAACCACTTTCAGACATGGCATTAAACTCATTTAGATGCTTCCATCAAACTGCTACAACCTCAAAGGCGCGCTCTTTGAAAAGTTAAGGGCGTCGGAGGCTGGGATCACCTCACGCAGGGCTCCCAAGCTCACAGCTTAAAGCAAGCGGCGATGACTACCACGCACAATTCACTTGTGTTTAACATCGACGCGAGGGACTTGCCTTTCGGGTCGGCCAGCTTGCGCTCCTTGCAGGTCGCCGCTGGTTCTGGTGCGCTAGGCTCCTCACGCTTCAGCTGCCAAGAAATTGATTATGTCAAAGGTGTTTTAATGTATGAAACTAAGTGTGTAAAGGTAGGAGCATGAAAGCTCGGAATAACATCAACGATTTTGCCGTACGCATGAGCTGGGCCCTGTTTGGTGTTTGCTGGCCAGTAGGTATCCGAATTTCTGTTGTTGTACCTGATTAGCAGCGCATCATGTATAATGAGATCAACTGGAATTATGGAAATCAGCAGTACACTAAAAGCCGGTCACCCGACGAGGCAGCACCCTTAGTAGGTTCGGAAACATACAGACAACCCGTTGCACCAATCTACGCCTGTTACATGCGGCATTACACTTGCTGCATGCGAAGGAACATTCTACATTGACAAATATGGCGTTGTTCCGGTGCGCCGATTTCCCATCGCACGGTATGGATTAGCCCAAATGCTGCTTTATTTGAACACATCCACATGAAATATATGAGCGAAGACATGTCGGGTGAGCTTTTGGTGACAAAATTGGTCCAACTCCCGCAAGTTAAGGGTCAGTTATAAACAGCGCCGTTGGCCATACCTCCAATCCGTTAGGAAACTTAATTGCGCAAGTCGAAATATTTTGTCCTGCCACTTCGCCTCGCGCCTGTAATTCGTCGCAACTCTTCTTGTGATAACACGATACCCTGAAATAGTGCGGGGGCCTAAAGCCAAATGCTATCTCGCCCATATGACGGATCTAACCATATTATGTACTTTACTTGCTTCGTTCCCTGAGTTTCGATGCGGAAGTGATTGGCACTTAGGCAAAGATGATAATCGGCCAGATGCGTTTACACAAAACGTAAGCGTTTTGCGCCCCACTATTCACGTTAGTGGTCCACATCCCAGTCGGGCGCACACTTTAACCAATCCGCAATCGCCGGATGTCCAGCCTTTCGAAGGTTCAATCTTCTCCGGACGAGAAGTACCCATCAAGGACCTTACCTCAACCTCAAGTCAGCCCAGCCAGGCGCGTGCCCAAGGCTTACAGCCTGGGCGAAAAGAGGTTCATGCAACAGCCGCCTTGAAGCTCAGCAAAGGACCTGCGCTTCGGAAGCTGCTGGCGGCGGCGCAGCACCACGGCACGCAGGGGCCTGCGGCGTCCCTGCACATTGCAGCACTTGGAGCAGCAGCCGTTGATCTCCTTCATATCGATAGCAGCCAGGGCCACGGCACCCTCCGCGGCCATAACAACAACAAGATTAAGGTTTGCTGCGGCGGGGACGGTGAGGACTCCGATTACTTTCCGGCAACCCTGCGGGAAGCGTCGGTATGGCTGGCGGAGGTCGCGGAAGACGCTGCATCTCCGGAAGCGGCTGCAAGGTCCGTCCCGCAGACACACTTCCCCCGCCCTTTCAATTCAAATTTTTGAAACTCAAATTCAAATCCGGGGGATATGGGTATAGATTGAGGGTAAGGGGAGTAAGAAGAAGGAAGGAAACGTTGAGCGAGCAGCCGAAAACTACTCGGTCACCAACAATAAGTGGCGACGCGACTTTTCGCTTCTTTTGACATTCTGATCGGCGGCGCCTATCAGTATCGAGGCGCGAGGAGAACACATTGCCTGCAGACTGCAACGGAGAGCATCCCCTTGACCGCCCCCCGCCTTCCTCTGCTGCCCCAATTGATTATTGTTACTGACCACTCAGCCAATTACTTTCCCACATTCCCGCCGGCGTCCTGTGCGTGTTGAGTGCGGCCCGCACAATACCGATAGCCCGAGTACTCCACACCGGGCATGGACACGGTTGCCTGCTCCTCTCTCCCGTCCGCGGGAAAGAGCTCAGGCGATCTTTTTGTTGGGGCTGGGCAGCAGCCCCTGGCCAGTGTCGTCAGGCCCCGTCAGATACTTAGGGTTGTAACCTTCACATGCGCACACATGAACACACAAGCACACACACACACAGACACGCACGCACGCACACACAGTCACGAAAAGTCCTGAACATGAGGCGGCGGTACAGATGGCTGCGAGTCTCTCCACCTCCATGTGTGTGTGCGTGTGTTACATGGTCGTGGGGTTGCGTACCCCGTACCTGCAAACTGCCCAATACGAGCCAAGGGCTGAAGGGCTGCCAGATCGCCAGTAAGCACCGTCCTACCTCGCACGTCAGACAAAGCAAGTGGTAAATGAGACTAACGACCAAACGGAACGATATAGAGTTGCGGTGGGACCACATACGTTCCAACATCGTTGCACCAGACGTTCAGGTTCCCACTTCATAGCGTCCTTCATGTGCTCGCAGCGTGGGAAATCCATATTTATCAGATCTGGTTTCGCCGTACACCGGACAGTCGCGCAAGACGCGCTTCTCATCTCCAATATGGCTCTTTCAGCGCCGCAGCAAGGGCATACCTGCTCCTCCCTAGGTATATAACCCCGTCCCTTGCGCGCTCTGTTCGCCGCCAATGCCCAACAGCAAAGCCTAAAAAACTGCATGAGCTTAAAGTTCGCTGGACGCGGGATAAATGTTGTGATATGCGGGAGCATCCGCCTTCCTGCCCGCTTGCTCAGCCGCCAGAGCCATCCAATGCTTATTTTTCGCCATGTGGCGGCGTGTACAGTGCCGCCCTGCGGCGAATAATGCGGACGTGTGACAGCCCCCCCTCCGGCGGTACCCACCCCGCCTTCTTCGCCGGGTCAGCAAACCAGGGGGCCGCGGAGGGGCTCCTCCACCGACTGATAAACCAAAGCGAGGGGCCCCTCACGATGGATCAGGCACACGGGCACATGGGCTGGAGCAACCCACATACAGCTAGGACTCATATATGAGCGAGTGAGCGTCTGCGTGTACGTGTATGTGTGTATGTGTGCGTGTATGTGCGTATGTGTGTGTGTGTGAATGTTTAAGGAACTGATCCGCGAGTAGGAAGCCGGAGGGGGTTGTTGAGACGCATGAGAGCTACTACACAGCGAAAAAGCAAGAGGTAGCCGCCAGCGTATTAGAAATCGATGTGGGAATTGTTACTGATGTCTGGAAAGTAGGGAGAGAGTGACGCCAAAGCAAAAGTTGCAATAGGCGCCAGGACGCAACGGCGGTGTACGGCTGGGTGGTGGGCATCCAGTGCCGAATGTACCACCACACCTGGAGCGGCGGCACAACACGAAGAGTTCTAATAACTAAGGGCGCTTCAAGTCCGCGTTCACACCGAACTATGTGTACGAATGTGCGACAATACACACACACACACACACACATGCACATGCGGCACGCTAGCTTGGATCCAACCTCACCGCACTTCAGCACCGTATGAAATGCCACGACGAATACACGCTCACGAACGTGTCATAATTGTGTTCAGTACTCGTCGTCCCCCCGTGTAAGAAATGATGTTATCTCCTGTCTGCCTGCCTACCTGCCTAATCTGCCTACCTGGGCACCTCTGGGGGCGAAGAGCGGCGCTGGAGGCCCTGGCGGACGTCATGGCGGCGGCGCTTCAGGCCGTACGGGCGGCGGCAGCGGCGGGGTTGCCAACCCCGCCGCCACCGCCAGCGGGTACCGTACCGGGGGCAGCAGCAGTAGAAACAGCAGCAGCAGATTCCGCCGCCGATGCCGCCGTCATGGACGCTGCTGTTGAACCGCCCCCAGCTGCAGGGGCAGCAGCGGCGGCGGCGGCGGCGGCAGCGGCGGTGCTACACGAGCCTCGCTGTGACGCGATCCATTTGACCGCGACCGCAATATCCGCCTTGTACGGCAGGTGCCCGGACGCCGCCGCCGTCGCGGCCGCGGCTAGACTGCTCGGCTGCTGCCTGCAGGTTCAGCTCCGCCTGCCGCCTGGCCCTTCGCCGCCGCCGCCGCCGCCGCCATCCGCTTTGGTGAAACTGGGAGTCCTGGTTCCCCCAGCCGTGGCGACGGTCGGCCTTGGGCAGACGATGGCGGAGCGCGGTGGTGTGACGCCGCCAGCCCGGTGGCGACCCACGGGTCTGTCTGAGGCAGCGGGATGGGAGGCCCTCCTGGAGCTGCGTCGGCACCCACATCCACTAGTACGAACGGCCTGTCTAGTTGCCGTACAGCAGGTAAGGTGGGGGTTCAAACAAAGGGGAGGGGAGGCGGATAGGTGGGAAGGAGCAAAGACTCGCGCGCACACGGATATGCATGGACAGACAGACAGACAGACAGACAAATAGGCAAATTGCAGAGAGATAGAGAGACAGACAGGAAGACATGTTCTGTCCTTTGGGACTTTCCCTTCGCTTTTAACATTGGGGTTTCCAGCTCCCTACTTGCCGTACTGCACATACATACCCACATACCCGGGCACGTGAACGGCACGTCGTTACACGGGCCCGTACACCCCAGGCGTGCATTGCGGCGTCGGCGGCGTCATCCACATGGACATGCCGCGGCGGCGGAGGCGGCGGAGGCGTTACGGATCCACAGCCGTCGGTTCCAGACCTGCTTGATCCTGCAGCCGCCGCCGTCGCCTACGCCGCCGCCGCCGCCGGGCTGGAGGACGACGCGGAAGAGCCTCGCGCCGCCGCCGCCGCCCTCATCTCCGCACTTGCCGTACTGGTTCCGGATATGCCGTACGGCACACATTTCGGCGTGGCGGCTCGCTTGGTGGACGATGCCTTCATGCGGCTATGTGCGCTGGTCGCCGACCCACAGCGGGGCCTGAGGCTGCAGGCGTTACATGCACTGGGGGGTGAGCAACCGCCGCCGTAGTAACCTCGTACCGCTACAGCCGCAGCGGCGGCAGGCCAGTGACGTCACTCACTCACCCACTGCGGTGTAACGCCAAAGGGGGATTTGTTACCCCGTAGGCACTACCGTGTCAAATAACACGCACACGCACATACACACATACACACACACGGGTAGACGTCTTTGTGGGCGGGTGGTCACCTAGGGGGGAAGGGGGGGAGATCGGGATGGCGGCTGCTGGTTGCTGTTGAACCCCGGGCCCCCCTTTTAGGCTTTAGGGTTATCCCGCAGACATTTGTTAATCGGGAAACCCTAGGACGGCACACACATCACCCGCCAGCGGTGTGTGATGCAGTGCTATGTGTGTGTATGTATGTATGTGTGTACACCGTTACACCACCTTCTGGGGTTGCGTTATACTCTCAAAGGTGTATGTAACCTGGGGGGGGGGAAGGCCGTACATACCCGGAGCCCTGGGGGGGCCCGGAGGGGTGTATGTCCGAAAAGAGTAAAAAAATGTGTGTGATTCGTGCCTTGCTGCCTATTTAACTACCCCCACTTATCTACCTACCCTCCTACATACATACGTACGTACGTACGTACTTTCCTCCGCCCGGTGACAACCCGCACACCCCGTCAGTGGTTCGTCCTATTCCCCCATTTTCCGAGGGGACATTTGTTCCGGGGCCAGGGGGCCCCTTTCGTTCCCGTGTGCGTGCGTGTGCGTGCGTGTGCGTGCGTGTGTATGTGTGTCCCTCACTCACCGCCACATTAACCCTGGGCACCCGACCCCCCTTTTTTCCCCCCCAACAAATACAACCCCCCACACACATACAAATACACCCCGCCACACCGCCACACCGCCCGGACCTGGGACACCGCCAACTGCCGCCGCTGCGACGTCAGGGCTTCATGCAGCCAGCCTTCGCGTCAAGCTGCAGGTGGTGGTAGTAGTGGTAGTGGTGGTGCTGGCCGATGGCCGGGGGGTTGTTACGGGCGAGTCGCGGGCCTGATGAGAGGTTGCTGACGTGGCTGTGTGCCCTCCCTCGCAAAGACGGGTTGGGCTGGGCTTGGCTGGAAGGGGGAAAGGAAAGGAAGGGAACGGAAATGCGACGCGCCTTGGGCCTGTTGGAACTAGTATTTTGCCGTTCTGTTGGTATCGCAGCTTTGACTCCGGTTCCCGTCCACCACCCTGTCCACCAGGGAAGAGAGAGAGAGAGAGAGAGAGAGAGAGAGAGAGAGAGAGAGAGCAAAGTAATTATGGCCGGATAGACATTGTTCACGGCATTAAGAGCACCCGAAGCGCCGGAATCCGTCCCTTCACGTGTTCTTTCCGTCGACCCGCGGGGGGGGACGGAGGAGCGGAGCAAATTGAGCGCGCGTTGTGGCCATGGTGATGTATCGACATACATACCTCTTAGCGGTGGGCTTTTACCCCTTTCCGGCGCAGGCTCTCAGCAAAAAGACGACGCTGCGGGTGGCGGTGGTGGCGTCGCCGCCGCCACCGCCGGCGACAGGAACGGGGATGATGGAGACAGCTGTAGGTGGCGGCGGCGGCGCCGGAAGTACGGCAGGAGGCGGCGGTAAAGCTGGGTCCAAGAGGGCGGCAGCTGATCTGGTCGCCACCACACCCGCCGCCGCCGCCGCTGGCAGCGGTGGCGGCGGCGGCGCCGCCGCCCCCACTCACGCCGCTAGTGCCGCCGCCACCGTCAAGCGCCTGACCACCTCTGCCTGGGAGCCTCAGTCTTGGCTGGTCGGCGCCAGGGGTGGGCCCAGATCAAGACCTGCCGTACCTGGATCTGGATCCACGTCAGGCCCTGGCAGCGCCGCCGCCGCCGCCGCATCGTCTAATGACTTAACCCTGCTGGAAAACGCCGTCGGGGCGTTCGTACTCGGCAGTGAGGACGAGCACTGGGAGGTTGGTTGTCGTTGTTGTCGGTTGTTGGGCCCGGTGTTGGCTGTCCTTGGCGGAGGTGTGCTTTGTTGTCCCGGACTGTACAGCAAGATATGTGCAATTTGTTTATAGATTGCGCATGGGGCAAAAGAAGCCGTCTTGGGTATTATTTTCCTTATGGGTCCCCAGGACGCGGCTGGTGATATCGGTATCGGTATCGGTATCGGTATCGGTATCGGTATCGGCTCTTCAATGTCGCAACAGGTACGAGTCGCAACACTAGATGCCATGACGCGGCTGGCAGAGTACGAATACCGGGCAGCAGCTGCCGCCGCCACAGCGGCAGTAGCTGGAGCGCCGCCAGCAATAGCAGCAGCTGGAGCAGCAGCAGGAGCAGGAGCAGGAGCAGGAGCAGGAGCAGCAGCAGGAGCAGGCGTGTCGGGGTCAGCAGCCGGGGGTGCGACGGGGCGGGGTGACGAAGGCAGTGCTGGTGGTACGGCGGCAGCCAGCCTTTCCGTACGAATCGGCGGGATTGGAGGCTCGGCGGGGTCCAGGTACGCTGAGGGCTGAGAAGTCTGTGTGTATGCGCACGTGTGTGTGTATGCGTGTCTGTGTTTTTTTGCGTGTTGAGACCCCCACTCGGGGACGGCGGCGGCGATGGGCACACCTAAGGAGGAGGGAAACAACAAAAGCCGGGGGTGCTCTAATGCCACCGGTACTGTTGACGTACCCTTTGTCGTACAATGCGTGTCGTACACCACCACCGCACCTGCGCACTCATTATTCGTCTGCAGCAGTAGCCGCATCAGCGGACAGCCTATCGAAGTGTTTATGGTACCATGACGTGTCCTAATGCCGTACAACCTGCCGTACTTTCTTAGTGATCCCGCTGCGTCATATTCCCCTTTCCATTACACCGCACGCAGGATTGCCTCGGGGGTCGGAAATGTGGAAGCCGCCGCCAGCATATGCGCGGCACTCGTCGACGCACTTTTGGACGAGCTTCCCGAAGTACGGCAGGCGGCGGCACGCGGCGTGAGTCGTCTGCTGAGATTAGAGGCTGAGACACGGCGGCGGGAGATGGTGGTGGCGGCGGCGGCAGCGGCAGCGGCGGCGGAGGCGGCGGCGGCGGCGGCGGCACCCTCTCCTCCGGTCCCGCGACGCAGCCTTCCCCCCTTACTGGGTGAGGACTTGGTTCGTTCTCTCACGGCGGCTGCAAGGGACACAGACGGTTCGACGCGGCGGGAGGTGGTTCGTGCGCTGGGGCGATTGCGGCTCTCGCGCCCCGGTCTGTTCCGTGAAGTTGTCCAGGTGCGGAGGGGGGGAGTTGGCGGGAGGAATGCAAAGCTCTCCGGCAGCTTTCTGCGGCGCTATCACCCGGTCCCAGCCCGGTCCTGCATGGCCGCATTTGCTTGTGTGGGGTGGGGGGTCGGGGGTGGGGGTTGGGGGGTCGGTGTGCGTTGACAACACCCTTGATGGCGGCGACATGGGTTTGGTCGCGCGCACATCAGGAGGCAGCTTTTAGTTAGTGGAAATAGGTGAGGGTTTCATGGCACATTCACTCAGTGCAGAGGGTGCAAAGGGTGTAGAGCGGCTAACTGAATTGACCCACATTTGGCCCACATTCCCTTGCGCCGCTACGGTAAATGTGAACGTGAAAATTCGGATCGCGCGATGCCGCCTCGCCTCGCCCTTGCCGTGTGTCGGAAAGGCGCTGCGCCGATGCATCGCAACCAACCCTTCGGCGGCCGCCGCCGCCAGCATGCGAGACCTGGCGCCGCCGCCACAGGAGCTGGGGACGGCGGCGACGGCGGCTACGGCAACAGCCACGCAAGGGGCGACGGCAGCGGTGATGGCGGCGACGGCGACGGCGACGGCGACGGCGGACCAGCGGGCGACACTGCGCCATCTGCGTTCCGATACGGTGCTGCGGCTGCTGGTGCTGGCGGGAGCGCATGCCGTACAACCGGACACGGTAGCGGCGGCGTTGCCGCCGTACTTGTCGGCGCCGCTGCTGGTGGCGGTCGCACGGCTGTACAGACCTTAATGCGGGCTAACGTTGCACAGCGGGCTGACGGACGCGACACGGAATGTCTGTATGTATGTACGTGTATACAGAGAACGTTGAAGAACCCGCGACGGGAGTGTACGGATGCCCGTTGTTGCGGCAAGTTCTTCGCGAGTTAGGCCCTAAGTATACAACCAGACGCGCGGACGATACCAGGATGGTGCGCCTGACTGCGCAGTTTTCGTCGGAAGATAATTTTGATAACTCTAAAGTACGTTTAAGAGTTCTGGCGTGATCCTCTGACTTGTTTGTAAGTAAGATGAGGAGGATCAGACCCTCGAGATGACGCTAAACAGTTTTTTGACCGCCCTTCGCCAGCAACATTCATTTGCGATGTCGCGGTTTCCCCCCCCCAACACACAAGAGATGCAAATGCGCCCAACCCCTCTCATGTGGCCTTCCGTTGCTACCTTTCTGTCCTACTCGCTGCGATATACACCTACTTGACACATATGTATACAGCATACAGCTGCTCTTTTAGCAGCGACGACGAGCCCTTGACGCCCTAGGAGCCAAACATCAAGCAAACAGAGCCACATCAAGCTGCTGATGTAAAGAGCCTTTCGCACGGAGGTTAACAGTTGACAGTTAAGCCCACGCTGATTAACCAATCAGGTACGGTACGACAGCAGCGACCGCGGGGTGAGAGCTCTCCAGGGAGACGGAGGGAGGGAGGGGGGGAGGCGGCTCTCACCCCGTATCACACTACAGCCCAAACCCAAATCCTCCCCCGCACCCATCACCCATCGTCCTTGTCCTCCCCCTCCCCCCCTCTTTACTTCGCAGCAGCTTCACTCGTTCGTAGTTCGTGTCTTTCCCTCCGTCCCCCCCCTCCTCATCGTCATCGCGATCATCGCCACTCCATTTCCAGCTCGGAGGAGTGTCGGTGTTCCAGCAGCACCCAGTACCAAACTGCCAGCATCAACACGTGACGTCATTCAGCTCCTCCTCCCACCGAAGCGACCATCCACACATGCATGTAATAAAGCGGCCCAGAAGCCCTCCTCCCACTCTGTAACATTACAATTACAATTACACGTGCATGCGACCTGCGCGCGAAGCTGTTTTGTTGGTGGCGGTGACTCTGTTTGTGTTCGTGGCGGTGGTCGGAGCAGCTGCGTATGCGTACGCGGCCCCCCTCCCTAACCGCCTTCCTAACGGCGGCGACGGCGGCGCCTGCACCGCTGACACAACACATCCATTCGTCCACACACGGACAAATAGACATACAAACATATGTCGGAACATTACCGAACACGCATGTAACACACATATATACATACATACATACATACGTGCAATCAAGCAATTGTTCTTGTCGTTCTTGTCGCTGTTGTTATCGTTGTTATCGTTGTTCTTGTCGTTGTTGTCGTTGTTGACAAGGGGTTTGTTACACTGTGGGGGCAAAGCTCGCCCTGAGGAAAACGGACGACGAGAACCGTCCGGGGGCCCGGACCGGACCGGACCGGACCGGGGGCCGAAACACAGCAGCAGTGCAGGGGCGGCCGCGCGCGGGGCTCCACGTCCGTCCATCTGTTCCTCTCCGCGCGCGCCTCACTCCCTCACTCACTCCCTCCCTCACGCCAGCCGGGGCACTCTCCCAGCCCCGGGCTGACTAGGCAACCAACACAGCGGCGCAGAAGACTGCGAACCGTGCCAAGCGTGATGAATCGCACGGGAGAGGCGCCACACACCCCACCTCACTTGTTATCCTGTTATGCTGTTGTTGTCACTTTTCTTGTGATATTACTGCCGCGGTATCCACCCGCCTCCCCACCCGCCTTCCCAATCCCAATCAGTTCTAGGCATGTAAGAGATGTGCGGGGAGGGGGGCCTACATATGGGTTTGTTTATGCGGGCGGGCGGGAGCTCTCCTCCCTTCAGAGGGCTCTCAAGCGGCCTTCTTGGTCCGTCGGTGCTGGTGCGGGTGCGGGTGCTGGTGGCCACCGCTGCCGGAGGCCGCCGCCGTTGGCGGAGGCGGTGACGCCGCAGCCACCCTTGGAGGAGTAGCCGTCTGTTTACGGTTACCGTTACCGTTAACGGTTGCCGTTGTCCTTTTGGTTGTTGGCGCCAATTTAAGTTGCGAGTAGATGGTGAAACCCACCACGCTGACCGCATACCCGGCCACCTGGAGCACCGTAATCGCCTCGCCGTGCGCAACGACGCCGTACCTGTCGTACGGCAGCAGTACACAACGGTACGACACTGGAGAACGTCGTGTGAGCCATGGCAGCCTCTATGGCAACAAACCATTGCGTATCCGCCCATACGTGTGTGTGTATGTGTGTGTGTATGCCGTATGCCTGTCTGCATGCGTGTGCCTAGTGTGTGTATGTATGTATGTATGTCCCTACCAACCTTCCTCTTCCTTCTTCCCCTCTTTCCCCCGCATCCCTCCGTCTCGCGGTCTCTGGCAATCTTCACTTCGATCCCCTCACCTTCCCACCTTAGCTACCCAACCCCACCAAATCCCCCCCCTCCATTTCCCCCCTACTTGTCTTCATATTATCACTAACAGCATATCTCGTCCTCCTCCTTAGAAATCTGTAGAGCTTTCAATACCCCAACTCCAACAACCCGAGTACCCAACTTCCAACTGCCAACTGCCAACCACCACCACCAACCACTCACGCGACAACCGCCACATTCTTGACGCAGCCCGCCACTTTGAACGTGAGGCTGCTGGTGGCGTTGATGGCGAAGAAGCAACTCATGTTTACGAGCGCCGAAACCAAGGGCGCGGTGATGAAGGTCATTGGATCACGTGCCGCCAGCGCAAACCCCCTGCCGTACGCCGCCGCCGCCGCTGCCTGCGGCCACTCCACCACCGCCGCGATTACCAGAAGTAGCGCCGCCGTGGGACCGCCGATGTAGACCAAAGACTCGGCGGTGTTGTACTTGGCGCCGTCCTGTGCGGAGTACGGCAGGGCGTAAGGGTACGACAGGGAGGCAAGGCGAGCACAGGGGTCCTCGTTAGGAAGAGATAAATTTTGATCACCCTTGCCGCAATATTATAGGTACATACATACGTACGCAGTTGCACAAGACCCAGTCGTACACGATCACAAAACGACATTTTATCTTCCCTTTTGTCACCGACCGATAAACAGAACCATAAACAGATCCATAAACAGATTGATAAACAGATCGATAAACATACAGATGAACACACATTACTCCTGGCGCTAACACACCCCTCCTCTCCTATGCCCCTCCGCTACCCGTTGCATTGCTCTTCTTCACCGGGGGCCCCAAACCCCCAATACACACTTCCATGCACCCAACAACTCCCTCAACAAGTACCCCCCTCCCCCTTCAGAGCCCGCTCCGTGCCCCATCATCCTTCCCCCCCAAGCCCTCACACCCCCCATCCCCCTCCACACCCTACCCTACCCTGAGCAGCTCCGCCCCCACCACTCTGGCCGCCTCGGTGAGTGATGACGTCATAAAGGCCGCAAAGCCCACCAGGCGGAAGGACGGCGCCCCGCTCTCCACCAACACCGCCCCCGCGGTGCCCCCCACAATCATGGAGATGGCCACCAGCAGGGGCGGGGAGGCGCGCTCCAGACCGGCAGCAACACACAGCGCGAGGGTGATGGCGGGGGTGAAGGCCTGGAAGTGCTCGGGAAGGTGTGTGTATGAGTGGGGGGCGGGGAGGAGGGGGAGAGGCGGGTTAGGGTTGGGGGGGAAGGAAGCGGGTGAGGGGGGTCGGACTACTGCGTCGTCTGGGGGAGCGCTGACGGTGTGCGGGTGCGAGGTAAGGGGTGCGGGATGAGAGCTGGGGTACGTGGCAGGGATGTCCAGAACCCCCCCTCACACAGACGGACAAACAGACAGACAAACACAAACACACATTCATTATCTCCAACACAACCCGTCCTTCCTCCCCTTAAAATACCTCGACCGTGGTGTCTCACTATTATGTCGTCAAATTACCGCCAAGAATGAGAAAACACCACATTGGAAAGCCCAAATAATCCCCCTGACACACAAGCAACGCCTCTCCCCCCCTTCTCCGCGC